CGTCATTTTTTTGCTGGCAGCTGTCATATCGTTTCATTGATTCATGCCAAAATTTAAATCAAGTCGACAGGTTCAATGATGCTTTTGAGTTGCCTGAGGATCAATTCAGACAATTGTACGGCTTTCCAAAGCCAAAGAAGCACTCGAAAATCGTTACCAGTTGCTTGAAAGGAATACGGGCAGCAAACGCAGCCGAAATCCTCACCAGAAGCGGATACACCAACGTCAAGTGAGTCGATTTTTTAATTTAAAAATAAATCTAAATCCGTTCTTTCGAATTTGCATTGCACAAAAATTGACAATTCCTCTTTCATTATAAGCGTCTACAAGGGCAGTTTCGACGACTGGAAAAACAAAGGAGGAGATGTGGTGCAGTAAGAAGTTTTTGCTGAGCAACACCGGATCCCTCATCCGCAATTTGCAACAACTTTCGCACGTTTCATAAACGAATTAGAAATTTGCATAACCACCGCTGTGCAGATTAATAATTGTGACGAAATTCCGCGTACACATTCTTCAGACGTCGTTATTCGTATGTTCGACATGAATGCTTCAGAAACCTATTCATTTTGATAAAATGAGGCTTTATTTATCTTCAGGACGGAGTTTTTTTGTGTTTGAACACATCCAAAGAATTTTCGGTTAATCCAATTTCATGAAATTCCTGGCAGTGATGTGCTTATCATCAGGTGCTGGACGCAGCTCTTCTCCTGCGAAAGACCAAAATGGAAATTGAAAGTCGAATCTCTATAAAAGGCAAACTTCAAGGGACCAGCAAAAAAAATCATGTTAACTGGGCTTTTAATGCATTGTTTTCAGTGACTTCAAACAGACACTTAACAAAAATTGACACATTTCAAGGTGGTAATGACTTACGGAGGTTCAAGTTATCAAGATTCAACTGTACCTGGATTGGATGAATCAACAGTTCTTCCAAGTCCAAATCTAATATAATTCAACCATACACCTTATCCTAGTCTATATCTTAATGTTACACTGATTGTACAGCATAAACTATAGAAAGACTTGAGCTGATGAAATGAGGCACCAGAAAAAATTTGAACACTCAGAAGTAAAATTTCAAGGCACTCCAAAGTGGACATGAAAGGATTTTATTGGGGCCTATGGCTTGCTTTACATAAATGAATTGAGTATTTTATTTTCTAGTACAATCCTTATAAAACCTCTCATCATTCTTGAATGAGATAGAACATTACCCAATCCCTTCTGGAAAGCATCCCAATGAAAATTTACAATTTTTTCTTGAATACAAACAAGAAAAATACAATATGCATGTATTCTGAAATTTGGCCCCAATATTTGTACAAAAGTTGGTGTATATAATATGTTGAACTGCCACTTGGTGTCAAATAAATTTTCCATTGCTATAGAAGGAAACAAAAAATAATAATACCTTGAGCACAGTGAATCCCCTCCACTGAAGTGAAGTTGAATTGATCAAGAGAAGCTGACTGTGCAGCACTTGCATGCTCTATGTCTGACTGGGGATTACATGGCAAACTTCACTTCAGTGTGCTTCAGTGGAGGGCATTCACTGTAATCCAGGTCTTATTCTTGTTTCCTTCTGTAGCTGAATAGTCCATGAAAAACTTAAACACCATTGAAGGATTGAAGAGCAAAAGAAAAAATTGCATCTGCCTCCAATGATGGCAAGTGACCATTTATCATCTTTTATGAACCAACCCTTGTATAGTAACAGGATGACACTACAACATGGACTACAGTAAAAGAGATTCGAGCAAAAACATTTTTAGATTAATGAGCTTTAAAATTGATTGTTCTTATAAGGGGAATGGCTGATGGAAATTCACTGAAAATTCAAATTCAGAGTTTTTATTAATTTGTTCAAATTTAGAGTGATTTAATGGCAGTTCAATTTCAATTCTGGAGGACCTTGGGAAGTACTTGTAATAAAGCTCCAGCAGATGGAAACTAACATCACTCATTTATCTACATAGGTAGTTTTTATAGTTAAGATCCTCTTTCCACATTAAAAGTCTTACAATAGTTCAAGATCTCACGCTCTGGGCCTGGAGCCACCAGCTGGCGACTCCTGCCAATCCCGAATCACCCTGTCAATTGGGTCTTCAATGACACGCGTCTTATTCTCATCGATTCCAGGCTCTTGCGCTGAAGCCACAGAGCCTGGCAGCAAATTGCCCGACTGATCGACTCCACCGTCCTTCAGTGGACTCAGATATAGAACACGGTTTTCAGTCACAGAGCCCGCATCCACAGTTCCTGGCCCACCAGCACCATGGTCGATTTCTATCGGGGTTTTGTCGAGTGCAGAATCCTGATTCGAGATGATTCGAGGATTAGCAGAGCTTCCTGCACCTGGTCGGTGACTGGTTGTGCCACTGTTGGAGCCCTGTTTGTCCAAATTCGACGAAGGCGGCTTCGTTCCTTGAGAGCTTGAAGCGTAAATTCCTTTGGATGCCGGGGAGGCTGAATGAAATACAAGCTGCTCTTTACTTCTATTCTACACCCATGAGTAAAAGTATCGTTGCAATCTCAACGCTTCTCTCCACGTCGCGCAGGTGTCGCCTGAATTTGAATGGCTACTCACTTGTAATCCAGAGTCATTCGCATGAGATAATTAAGTCAGGTAAAGTCCTTTATTTTGGTTTTGTCTGGAGCATGCAAAACCTAAGTAACACAATAAGTGGACAAGCTGGGATACGTGGGAAAGTACCAAATTGAAATTTAAATATTTGTTCTCAAGGTGCGTGATTTGTCGTGCTACCGTTGATTAATGTTCAATTTTCTCGTAGGCTCTAATATCATTATGAAGTTCTGATACA